CTATATATGTATGAGATTTTATTAAATTGAGCAGGGGCCAGTGGGGCAAGGGAAGCAGACCAACTACCATCCAACTATATTGTATGAAAATCAGAAAAATTCAATAAAAAAAGAAATTCTAAAGAAAACAGTAAAAAGAAAGTCAAAGTTTTGTTCTTTCCAATCTCAAAGAAGAAATCTAGTGCTAACACCCATGAGCACAACATAGTAAAGCTAAACTACTCCAGATGCAACCATGTTTACAGATAGGGCTGGAATGGCCCATTTTAGCAAAAGTTTGAGGAAATGATAAGTATGTATTTAAATCAGTTGAGTGATTACAAGTAAAGTCATTTCCTTAAAGGCTAATAAATTAATTCTTGGAATTTCTTAGGACTGCCTCAATAAGGAAATATAACTTCCTTAAAAACAAACCCTTTTTAATTTTAGAGCTGTTGATCTAACCTGGAGCTTCATACTACTGAGTGAGGGCTTTATCACTCAGCCACATCCCCAGTCCATACAAATTTTATAAGTGATCTAACAACTGCCTATTTGAAAATCAGTGTTTATAAACTAAAGTATTAAAATATTTTTTAAAATATTTTATTTATTATTATTATTATTATTTTGGTCTTTGTGAGACAGGGTCACCCTGTAGCCCCAGCTGTCCTGGAACTCACTATGTAGACCAGGCTGGCCTTAAACTCACAGAGATCGCCTGCCTCGGCGTCTCGAGTGCTGAGATTAAAGGTGTGCGCCACCATGCCCGGCTATTTATTATTTTTATTTTATGTGCATGAGTGTATTACCTGCATGTATATGAGTGCACCTGTGTTGTACAGTGCCCATAGAAGTCAGAAGAGGGCATTGGAGTGCCTGGAACTAGAAGTATGTATGGTTGTTAGCTGCCATGTGGGTGCTGGGAACTGAACCCAGGTCCTCTTGAAGAGCAGCCAGTGCCCTTAACTGCTAAGCCATCTTTTCAGCCCCTCAAAAAGTTTTTAAAAAAGGATTTATTTTTATTTATGTGAATGTGTGTATGTCTGTGTGACTATATGGCACATGTATGTGGGTGCCTTTGGAGGCCAGAAGGCAGCATCTGATCCCCTGGAACTGGAGTTATAGACAGTTATGAGCTACCTCATGTGGAACCCAACTCCAGTTCTCTGCAAGAGCAGTAAGCACTCCTAACTGCTAGCTATCTCTCTAGGCCCCAAAAAGATTTTTTAAAACAAGGTTAAAATTATCTTCTTACATGAGACCTTGTCTCAAAATACTATCCTCTATATTTTTTTACATTGTTGTCTTCCTTAACAAATGATTTTCCTTAGCTCAAGAACAATATTCAACTGAGGCCTGTGTGAATAACCCAAATTAAAGTTTAAACTGAGTGGAAAGATTGTAAGAGCCAGGGAAAGGGGCATAACCGTATGAAATACAAGCTCCTGGGACCCTTCTCATACAAACCTATAGTAATGGTGTCAGCATGCACAAGACCCATGCAAACTCAAGCAGACAAAAATCAAGCACAGAGCTGTGGAAATGGACAGCAGGTCCCAATCTTAGTTGAGAATTATTGGGGAGCTGATTACTATTGGGTGAGGAAGAGCTGGTCTTCTTAAAGGGAGAGACTCTAGATAAGCTACCTTGACCCCAGTGGATGAACTTGAACTGAGGGATGTCTGGGGACATTGACTTGACATGATAGGCCTCACCACAAATGACAGAATGTATGAACTCCAGTGGGGGGCTATGGGCAGGCGCCAATAGGGAAGGGGGTATAAAAGTGATCAAGACATTCTGTATGAAATACACAAAAATTCAATAATTTTTTTTAAATCTCTTTAAAAAAAAGTTTCAACTGTCAGGCCTGGGATACAACTCAGTGCTAGAGTATTTGCCTATCATGTGTCAAGGCCCTGGGTTCAGTTTCCAGCAGTACAACAGAGAAAAATCTGTCTCACATGATGCTAACTCAGGACGTGCAAACTTTTCTGTTTGTACATAGTAAATATTTTAGGCTTCCTCGTCTTTGTTTTTCTGCTATTCTCTTGCATTTTTTTCTCAAAGTGCTTTTACAGAGTAAAGATATCCAGAGACACATAAAGACACAAACAATGGGGCTGGAGAGATGGCTCAGCAGTTATGAGTGCTTGTGCAATAATAAGAACCTAAGTTCAGATCCCCACACCTACAAAGCAAGCCAGGCATCCCACTCATGCCTGTAAGCCCTGTACCAAAGAGGCAGAAACAGGAGGATTGTTGGGGTTTTCTGGCTTCTAGCCTAGCCAAGAAAAAAGGGGAGCCCCAGGTTCGGGGAGAGACCCTGCCTCAAAGGAATAGGTGGAGGGTGACGGAAGAGGAATGCCCAATGCTCTCTTGGGGCCTCCACATTCATGTACCCATAGGCACTTGCACACATACATGCATACACACAAATAAATAAATTATATTAAATAAACAAATGGGTACAGCTGGGTTTCAGTAAAGCTTTATTTTACTAAATAGGCAGTGAGACAGATTTATTCTGTTTTGAAATTGATGACTTTGAACTTCAGATTCTCCTGCCTTCATCTCTAGGATGCTGGGATTACAGGAGTGTGCCATCATACCCAGTTTATAAGGCTCATCCATGCATGCTAGGCTAGCACTCTGCCAACTGAGTTTAATCTCCAGTCTGAAGGTTACGCAGAATGTGACTGCTTACATAAACGTTCCATGGATATTTTATTTATTTTATTATTTTATTATTTCATTTCATTTATTATTTTATATTTTATTTGGTCTTTTTGAGACAGGGTCTCTTCTGTAGCCCCAGCTGGCCTGGAACTTGCTCTGTAGACCAACCTGGCCTTGAACTCACAGAGATCGGCCTGCCTCTGCCTCATGAGTGCTGAGACAAAGGGTGTGGGGCACCATGCCCTGCTTCCATGCATAGTTAAAAAGAAGTAATAGGCTAGAGAGATAGCTCAGCAGATAAGAACACTGACTGTTCTTGCAGAAGACCTGGGTTTGAATCCCAACAGCCACATGGCAGCTAACAACTGTTCTTAACCCCAGTTCCAGGGGATGTAACTCCAGTTCCAGGGGATCAGACAGTCTTTTCTGTCCTCACAGGCA